TCTGGGAGCTCTGCGTACTTCAGGAGACAGACAGTATTGGCTGGAGAATATTTCTTTCAGCAAGAGGATCTCTTAGAGCTGCTCCTCAGGCGAAACTACACATTAACAAAACTAGTTATTTACTGGCATGACTCTGCCTGCAGAAAGGGCTCTTGCTGGGAAATGTCATTGCACAAACACGACAGGAACTGGTGGAGGGGACATGTCTTCAGCCACAAAACAACTACTCACAGGCACAGCTCAGGCTGGTCGTGAGGCTCCTGTGGATTCAACCCATTTTCACATCCTGCCCAATCTTGGTGAAGGCCATTTTTTACTGAAACAACTACTTCCACTTGCCTGATCTTTAGATAGATTACATAGGCAGATATTTAGATATATTACAACCAGCTTGAGTGAGCTTATTCCCACAAATTCTTGTCCCTATCCCTTACTCCCTCACTTTTAAAACATATATTTTTACACTGTGAAAGATTTTAGCTGCACCTCAGGCCTCATCTAAAGGGAGAGTGAAACAACAAACTGTGATTTATACATCAGAGACCTAAACTAAGACACTCAGCTCCCAGTGCAGGGGCACAGTACATCCCCAAGACTCAGCACTTGAGGATTAATTAGCGAGAAGTTCATTTATTTGAATGGCATGTTACTTGGAGACCTTCAGTTGCTCGTCCTTCATCCCCACCTCTCCAGGTGTGAGCCTTCTGCCACTCTTGGGGTCCCCTCCTCCAAGGTGTGGGCAGCAGATGGTGACGTTCTCTTGCAGGGGCAGATCCCAGAGAGCTCCTTTTCAGGGGGACAGGCCCCATGGAATAGGGGGACACATCTTGTGGTTTGTTTTCACTCAGGTGGGGTTCTCAGGAGACCTCCAGGCACTGCAAGGCCGTAGAACCAGGGATTAACTCAGAGAGCCCAGGGGGTGTTCCAGAAGCAGCACAAGGGATCTGAGGTTTTGTCTCAGCTTCACCTGAATTTGTTTTGCACACAGAAAATATCCCATCTGAAGACTGTGAGGGGAAGGAAAAGGAGAGTCAAGCCCTGGCTTGGCTGCAGGGCAGGTTTTGAAGGACAAAACACTCGCCCTTTTTACTGTGTTCTGACAGAGCTGCAAGTCCCTTGCTTCTGTAAATCTGGCTTGAAATCAGAAAATGGAAAATGAAAACAGAGAGTCTGACTCACTGCTGTTCAACTCTAATTTTAATTCCCTGGAAGATGGGAGTTCTCTCTGGAATGATGCAGTATGCAGTGGATTAGGGGCCAAGATTTCAAACTGCTCCTGGAGTTTACCCCCCTCCCAAATGGGTTTACTGGCACAGGACTGTCCTCCAGCAACAAGGACGTGACGCAGAGGAGCTAAAAGCACCCAAAGCACGATGGAAAAGCCTGGAACCTGCTCCTAGGGGCTGAAATCCACCTCTTTTAATGGTTATGGAAGCAAAGGTGCTGCTGGTGATGCCCCTGAAGCACCTCGAGGTGTGAGCGTGGAGGTGCCAAAGTCTTTGTGGCCTCGGGGATTGCTGCGAGGTGACATTTCCTCCCATCTCTCAGTGAGGGAGGCCAGGAAGGGAGAGCAGCCCCTTCATCAGCTGCTGCTCCACCAGCAGCTCAGGGGAACTATATTTACCAGGACTGTGGTCAAAACGTTTCCTCTCGGCAGGGCGGTGTCTGGTTTTCCACGCACAGCACTCAGCAGCTCACAGGAATTCTGGTCTGTTGGGTTAAGAGCAGTAAGGGAAAAAAGAAAACCAAACACACAGCCCAAAAACAATCCCCCCAAAAAAGCGAGTTGATTTTTACATCAGGGAAGCTCTTCTGGAGCCCACACTCCTGTTACTGGTGAGTAACAGAGAACAGCACATGGAAAAAATTCCTCAGATCTGTCTGCCCATCTCACTGCAGATAGAGGATCCCTTTGATGCAGTACAGTCTTTGTTTAATTAAGTTTTCAAATATCAGGTCAGAGGATCCCCCTTGCCCTAACGAGGCTATTTGCACATTTATTTGCTTTGCTTTCTGTTCCCTCCCCCAGTTCCTTCTTCCCCCTCAACAGGGCCTCCAGGCTTTTTCTCTTCCCTTTTTCTTTGCTCTGCAGCAAAGCCATATTCCCTTCCTCCCCCACCTGGCTCCCTGGGGAAAGGACTGGAAAGCAAAACAAAAGAATCACTCGCTGGGAAACTATAATTGGCACAACCCTCCTCGCTCCAAAACTCCCGCTGGAGAAGGTGAAGGAACAGCAAAGGCCCCTCCCGTGGGGAGTCAGACCAGGAAAAGCTGGAGGGAGGGAGCGAAGGCTTTGAAGCCAAGGCTCAAACCACCTTTGATGACTCCAGGAGTGCTTTGAGGGAGCCCCGAGGTGACCAAACTCTGGTCATCCCGGTTAATTCCATGGCAGAACAGGCTCCTGCTCTGCTCTGCACTATCCAGGCCTCTTGCAGGGGTTAATTTATCTCAGCTAAAAATATCACCTGGTTGTGCTGCTGGCACAATTTCTCCTTGTGACATTAGCACTGTGTGCCTGGTGGGGTTAAAGGGATGGGTAGGTAGAGCTGTACCGACAGCAGGAGCAGATTTAGAGCTCGATGAAGTTATAACTTAGATTAAAATAATCACTGCACAGTTGCACCTTCTAGTTGTCCCTTCCCTAAGCCAGAAATCATAGCTCAAAACATTACCTCCTATGTGAGTGTCTGGTGTATAAATGTTCAATTGACACATTTTATGTATTTTTAGAAATATTATAAACCAGGAATCCATCCCTGCCAGTGTCTCTTCCTTGCTCTGGGTGCTTCTCAGGGATACACCGGAACTGCAGCACAGGTCTGGCTCTCGGGGAGATGTGAAAAGTCACAACCAAGTTAATTTTGACTTCTCCCAAGTCCTTGGGTGGAAGGAAGGGGCCAGTGGCAGAGCGTAGCCATGGCAGTGTGGTGTGACCGTCAGGACATGTGCCCACTTACCAACCCCACATCGCCAGCGGTCCCTCAATCAGTGCCCTTCCAGCGGAGGTGCTGAAAAAAACCCCTGCATCCAGAGAAAACCCATTGTACACTGGAGACTCGAAAAGTTCAGGGATGAATTGGACCAGATGTTTCAGACATGACTTTGGCCAAGGCTTATTAATCCTTGAAGATGTAACCAAGGAACCTGGGACCCACGGCGGGTAATTCGGTGCAGCCGCGGCGCCGCCGCTGCCCTGGAGACTCAGATGAGAAGCCAGGCCCTGATTTACCAACATTTAACAAATGTCATCTTTAATTGGTGGCACTTCAATGGGTGGCATTAACAATCAGGCAGTGAAATCAGGAGCACTTATCAGACCACTCAGAAAAAGCAGGGCTGCAAATAAATGTGAGGAATATAATGAGAAGCAGTTTGGTGTCCACGGAAGCTGCGAGAACGCACGAGGCTGTGCGAGCCCTGCCTCTGCAGGACAATGTGTCTGCATCCACCTGAGCCTTTGTTTAACTGTGCCTACGGGAAAGGAATCCATTGCTTCTGGTAACTAAGCGAATGATCTTTTCAATCTTTCCAGGGAATTGCTCCTCGGAGATGACAAATACAGTCGCTGTCTTTCGCTTTGAGAAATAAGAACTGGTCCTCTTAAGTAGTTTCAGCCTAATGATCCAGCCACATCCTGAGTACCCAAATTCTGCTCCAATTACCTGGTAGGGCTCATACAGTGAGTATCAAACCTCACGTGGTGCCAACTCACAGGGTTTCAAAACATATTAGAATTTGGCTTTTTGCCTGAGCCACGACTTGCACTTTTATTGTTTAGTCACTTGATTAGTCTTCTCCATTTCTCTCCAGCTTCCAGGATTTCAAACAAATTTCTCTACTGGACAATCAGCAGATTTAAATGAAGTCTCTACTGAACATTAAAATCCAGTGGGCTCCTATTTAGGTTGCCCAGAGCAGCTGTAGCTGCCCCATCCCTGGAAGTGTCCAAGGCCAGGTTGGACGGGATCTGGAGCAACCTGGGCTAGTGGAAAGTGTCCCTGCCCATGGCAGGGGGTGGAGCTGGGTGATCTCTAAGATCCCTTCCAACCCAAGTCATTCTGGAATTCTATGATTCTGTGATTTACCAACCCCTCAGTTAGATTTTCTGTGAATAACCACCCCGCTTTGCTGATTTTATGACAACTGGCATTGCCAAACTCACTAGTATTAATAATTTAGATTCCTCCTACCCAGCTCCAGCTTCCACATGTGACTCCACAAGGACAGGAAAGGAGGGAGACCTTTTACATCCAGAGACTCTTTTCCTGATCAACCCTGTTGTTCACCATCACCTTGGGGCACAGGAACCTTGTGGTAAAATCAAGTACACGCAGAACAGGAGAGACAACAAAGAGACTGTCCATGAAGTTGTGATGTTTTCCTTGGTCACAGCTGAACATTTTAGAAATCCAGGGTTTATTATCACTGGGAACAGGGAGCTGTCTCATTTCACTGCCAGGAGAGGAAAGGCCTTAGTCACAGAGATCATTCCTATTGTTTCTGTGCTCCCTGGGCTGGTATAAAAGCAGGCGAAGGGCAGTCGGTGTCACTGCGACGGGAACGTCACCACGGGGCTGGCAGGAGACACCCTGTGCAGGTCAGGACTTCTCTGGGATCCAGCAACACCATCAGTAAGTAGGTAATGTTCCTTTTGTAACTGGAACATGCTTTTTAATTAATATATATTTTACTGTTGATCCCAATAGTGTGGCTTCCCTTTTGTGTATGAGCAGGAGTTCTACATTAGCATAATTTGAAATATCATTCAGCAAGTAAATATACACATCTCTATGTATATTTATGTGCATGTATCTGCTTTTAATACAGATATTTTTAATCAGGACTAATACCCATCTGTTATTTCATACCTAGTTTGATTTCAACGTGCTGCCCAAGGAAATCACTCACAGATTAGTGGAGCAGACTTATTAAGAACAAGCTTAATTGTTACAAGCAAATATATAATTTATTTGTATTATATGAATGTATAATTTGCCTTTCTATCCAACCCTTGACAATTCAGTAGTCAAGTTAGTATAAAGACAAGTAATTTGGGGAGATGCTGAGTTTTTTATTATGCCAAACTTCTCCTGCACAAAAAGAAGTATTTCTTCAAAGAGTTACATGGGAAAATATCTGTACTATTCTTACATAACAATTTAAATGCTGCAGTTTTTGTTTTGTTGTCTCCCCAGGTTTTGATGTAACAATTAATACAGGATTTTCTGGTAAATGATGAAAGGACCAGACTGGAGCCAATAAAGTAGGATACAGTCATTAGTGTGAAAAATGCAGAGATTTTAGGGATAGACCTGGCAATAAAGACATGGTGGGCTGAAGGAATGGGTAGGAAGAGGTGTATCAATGCCAGAAGCAGATATAGAACTGGATGAAGTTAGAATTTAAAGTAAAATAATTATTGCACAATTAAATCATCTCGTTGTCCTTTCCCTAAGACAGATATCCATTTCTTCACTGAAAAAAAATCTGGCATCAGTCTAATAAAATGCTGGATATTTGCATGTCAGCACTTGTACTGCTCGTGGAAAAGGCCCAAACCCCAGGGCTGTGAACACCTTTTAACTTGATGTTCCTGCTCCATTCTTAAATGCTTCCTGGTTTGGGATTTTCAGCAATCCTGATCTTCTGGACAAATGTCTGTGAAGTTTTTATCAGGGAGGTCTCTTCCCAGTCCTGAAATGTGCTTGCAAATGCCCAGGAGTGGGAAGTGTTATATTGAGAGGCAACACCGGGAGAGGAGATTTAGGACTCTGAGCAGGGAAATACAGAACTTTAGTGTGAATCCTATTCATCTTTTCTGCTGTGTGTTCAGATCCACATGACTGATGTTCTGGGAGGTCCTGGGACGATCTCCCACAGCACAATGCTCCACTTTTTACCTGTGCTTAAAGGCTGAAATTCATTTTGTCAGGTGAAAAAGGAAGAACAGAGGGAAAGATTTCTGGTCCCACCATCAGCTGCTGGTCCCGTGGAGTGGATTTAAGAAGGGAGAAAATGTTCCTGCCCCAGAGGTCTCTGCAGACAGTAACATTTTTGGCAATTCTTTTTTTTGCCTGTTTTGCAACATGTCAAGAGATTGAAAAGTAAGTAATATCATCCTTTTACTTCATTATTATAATTAGAAAATTGCTTGGTTTTGATTTAACAGGCTGTGTTCTGCACTGCTGTCAGTAACTCCAGGCATGGGGGAAAGAAAATTCAATAAATTTGATACAGCAACATTTTACATCACCCTCTCTGCAGTATAAAATTAGTCCCATTGCATTTTTATAAGTGTAACATGTGCCACATTTCAGCTGATGCTTTAAAACACAGTGTACAAACCATGTAAGGATGTTCAACACAGGCCATGGAGATGGCACATGCTAAAATTCCATATTTAGGTTCCCATGTGGATTCAAATCTGCAGCAGGAGCCTATAGCTGCAGTTAGATGTTATCTGAACAGCCTGAAATCCTGAAATATTTGCATCCCAGAATTAGCCTGCCCTCCTCACTCAACACTTGGCTCAACATTTTTGAAGAATCTGAAGTATCTGAAGAAAATAAGGGTTTGTTTTTATTTCATGGACATCAGTGATTCCAGCGAAATTCCAGTGATTCCAGCTCTGGGAGGAGAGAAAGAAAAACCCAAAATCCTGTAACACTGAGGTGAAGGAAAGGGAACTTTATTCTGAAAAGAATCTAAATCTGGGAAAGCCCAAACCTCTGTGAGAGAGCTCTTTAAACCTGCTCAGGTCATTTTGTCGGTCTTCCCAGAGATCCAAGGTACACCTTTGGGAATGGCACAGGGTTCCAGCCTCCTGTCTCGAGGAATGGGCTGCTTGCCAGGCTGCTGGACCAGCCTGAGTGGGAATGGTGGGGCTGTGGCACCACCAAAATGCTCCTGCCTGGGATTGGGGCCAATCTGCTCCCTCATTTCCCTCTGTTTTCCCTGCAGCAGGAGAGCAGTGACGGAGCACCAGCTCATGCACGACAGAGGGAGGGCCTTCCAAGGGCTGAAGCGCCTGATGTGGCTCCACAACGCCCTGGGCACGGTGCACACAGCCAGCAGCAGGGATGTTCCACCCCCACACGCCACGTGGGATGCCCAGAAGAGCCAAGATCCCTCAGATCTCCACAGCAGCACGGCTGGGGACGAGACTTCCAGCCTGACCAAGCTGCTGGGGCTGACAGAAGCACAGGGATTCCTCCCCTTAAAGCAGCTGGATTGGAAGACCCCAAAGGGTAACTGGGACCCACGAGGCCTTTTCGAGCTGCTGCAAACCAAAGAGATGGGCAGCAAGAGAAATCCCAGCTCGCAGCCACAGGACTATTCCCGTTAGCCCTCAACCCACCCCGCTCCGTCCCTGCTTTCCACGTGTGCTGCTGTAGGGAAAAGCTCCAGCGCAAAGGTGAACGGCAAAATAAAGATAATTAACTGCTTTAACTCCTCCAGATGTTGATAGAGACCCTCTCAAGGAGCCAAGTTCTCTCCTGAGCAGTGTCTGAGTGCTGTGACTATGAGATGGGTCACTTGTCATAGAACAGGCACTTCTCTTTTACACCAGGGCCCTCCCCGTCATGGGTATCTTAGGGATGCTGCAGCCTGTTGGAGCTCCTGTAGCCCACTCAGCAGGAAGTTTGGGTCGTTAATGTGCATATTTGGAGGCTCACTGGAGCCTAATGTTTTGACTCCTGAAGAAAGTTATCTCCTAATACAGGTTCTCTTTCATCTCACCCCTGCCTGCAGTTCTGCCATGGTCTAGTAATGACTTTTCTTATCCTGTAGGTCCAAAGGGTTTTTTTTTCCCTGCTTCTCCAGCATAAGGAATGTTTTAAGCCTCTCATCCCTCAGTTTTTCCTTCCTTTTGCCAGGCAAAAGTTGACAATGATCCCCACTCGGCCAAAGCCCTAAACATTCACCTTGTTCTGCTGGTGGAAGGGATGAGAACCAGCTTCCAGGATCTCCACTTCAGCCTTTTGTTCCAACACTTCCTTCCTTTTCTTTCCCCCTGTGAAATCCTCTCCCAAGAGCTCCCACAGCAGCAGAAAACCGACTTCATGAGGCCACCTGCGTTTCCTGGAATAGGTACCACAGGATTTTGCTGTTCACCTTTGCCATCAAACTGATCATCTCCGCCCAAGCAAAGCAAGGTCCAGTTTAACTGTAAAATCAGTCTGTCAGAAATTAAATCTCTCATGTGTGTTACAAATGTATCAGCATTTCCATCGTGTAGGGACTCTACACGCCGTTTTAAATCCTGAAGTTCCTCTGTTGCTGACAGACTTCAACTGTGCAGAATGTACTTCTCAGTGATTCAAATGCTGACAATAAAAACCCTTTTCACCCTCTGAATTGCACTTGCTTTTGTTTTGGTAGAAATGTGAATAAAATGAAGCAAAAACACCTTTTGCCAATATGTCCACACATTTGGGATGGGTCTGGAGTCACATCTCTTTTGTTGTGTCATTCCTCACAGCTCCCTGTGAGCCCAATCAAACCATTATTGAAGCAGATGGTTTCAGATATTCCTGAAGAGCTGAGAAGGGTGCGACAAAACCAGGTTTTACTGCCCAAGCAATCAATTTTCTGAGCTGGGATGCAGGACATCTTCCTCCCTGGAACCCATCAGGATGGAACCCCGGGGACCTGAGTGTGACCAGCTCAAACCTCTCCAGAACTGGCCGTGTCCTGCCCAGCACACTCTGGATCAGCCCCTCTAGACGTGGATTCCTCTGGGACTGACTCCCTGCAGCCCCGGGAGGTGGAGGTGACCATGGGCATCTCGGTGGCACCTGTCCCTGGGTGTGCCTTCCTCCTGTGTCACCACTGGGCCACCTGATGAGTGTCACCCGCGTGGGGACGGGGAAAACCAAGCTCCCCTGGATGGTGAGAAGGGGCTGGGTGTGCTGGGAGATGAGGCTGTGCCGGGAGCAGCTGGGAGCCTGCGGGTCACAGCACCACTGTGGGAAGGGGGGGAAGGCAGCAGGACAGGGCTCCCCAGTCCCGCGGGGCCATCCCACGAGCACTGCCAGGAGCAGGAGGAAGGCTCGCCGATCCCTCTGCCCCGGGACTTAGGGCAGAACACGGGCTGATGAGACCCCCATGCAAAGTGCAGGGGGTGCGCCCGCTGCCCCTCAGGGGCACCAGCCCTCCGGAGCCTCCCCGGGCGGGCCCGGATCCCAACCCTGGGGCATCCGCTGCGAAGTCCCAACCGCGGAGCCCCCATCGCGGAGCCCCCGGCCCAGAGGCTGCGTTGCGGCCCCTCAGCCCCCCTCACAGCCCCGCTCCGGGCCCGGCGCAGGCGCGGCGGGCGGGCCGGGCGGTCGCTGCTGGTCCCGCCCGGGCGGGGCGGGCCGGCCCGGGGCGCCTGCGCTGCCGGAGCGGTGCTTGGGCCGCCCGTCCCGGCTGGGTCGCTGTCGGAGCGCGGGTTGAGGGGGGGACGCGGCGGTAGCGGCGCGGGGGGCTCCGGTGTCCCCCGGTCCCCCCCGGTCCCTCCGTACCCCCCGCTCAGCCTCGCCGAGACCCCGCCTCGCCTCCAGCCCGCCCCTCCCCGGGGGGGGCTCCGGTAAGCAGCTCCGCATCCCCTCCCCGCCCTCCTCGTTCCTCTCCTCCTTCCCCCGGGCCCTTCGCCGCTGCCGGGGGAGCGGAGCGGGTGTGTCTCTTTCCCCCAAAACCCCTGGGTGTGGCGGGGGTGCTGCCGGCCGGGGTCTCTCCTCCCCTGAGCGTGGGGGGCTCGGGCCCCCTTTGTCCGCTCCCGGTGATGCTGCCGGGCCCCTCCGCCCGTCGGGCCGCGGAGCCGCCGCCCCCGGTGCCCCCTTCTCCTTTCAGGCCGGGTGCGGGGGGATCCAGCCCCGGCACCGTCCCACCCGCCCCACCGTGGGGGTCGGCGGGCTCTGGGCGCCCATCCCCGTGGAAGGGGCCGCCGCCACCAACAGGTGGTTTGTTTGACACCGATACTTTCTCTTTTCTCCCCCTTCTCTTTTTTGTCCCCGCACCTCCTTCTGTCAGATGGGTAATTTTCCTGGTCTGATCTCTAGGAAGAGAGAACCGCTCGTGGCTTTCACACCTCCCGCTCAGAGCCGTAGGTGTAACACCCCATCTCCGGGGGTGTAACACCCCATCTCTGGGGGTTTAACAGCCCCAAATGTGGGGGTGTAACACCCCATCTCCGGGGGTGTAACAGCCCCATCTCCGGGGGTGTAACAGCCCCAAATGTGGGGGTGTAACACCCCATCTCCGGGGGTGTAACACCCCATCTCCGGGGGTTTAACAGCCCCATCTCTGGGGGTGTAACAGCCCCAAATCTGGGGATGTAACAGCCCCATCCACGGGGGTGTAACACTCCATCTCTGCAGGGTGTAAAACCCCTCCCTGAGAGCGTGTGCAGAATGTGACCCCCTGCTTTGCGTGGGGTCACTCAGAGCTGCTCCTCCATAAAGCCACAGTCCCACCCTGCATAAAGACATAGCACCATCCCCAAAAACCACCCAGCTGAAGGTCCTTTTCCACGAGGATCCTGCCCAGGCAGCACACAAGGAGCTGGTGTCTGCAGGGGAGGTGGTTTGCAGGGGCCCAGCGGTGACGCCTCGTAAACAGCTGCGAAAAGTGAACAGAAAAGAGTCACTCAGAGCTCGTTGGCAGCACCCGGGGTTGTACAAAGGGGAAGTGTCTCACCTATGTTTGTCTGCAACTTCTAGTAATAGTTGCAAAACTGTGTTACCTCACCGTGAGTTAAGTGATACCCAGGAGAACCGGGTTAAGGGGTAGTTGCACACTTGAAATCTTTGTTTTTAATGCATTTTAGGAAGCGGAGCTGGGTTGTCAGATACGCCCTGAAACTGCTTCTGGTTGGAAGTGGCACACGCCAGTATTTACATATCGGGTTCACAGAGGCAGAAACGAAAATATGAAAATATATATTTTCCTCAGAAAGAAATATGTAGGATACTTACACTAGGGTTTGGGTTTTTGGGTATTTTTCAAACTGCAGTGTGTTCAAAGGCACTGATCCTCTGGATTTGGCCAAATTTCTGGGTGAAGACATCTAGGAAAAGTGCTTAGAGGCGACTAAATGCCTTTTTTGTTCCCTCTTTGGTTGCTCTGTTAGTGGGATGACTTTCAGGATTTTGCTAATTGTCACAGCAGAAGAGCCAGGAGGCATCTGATGGAGTTATTTCTGCAGGGGTTATAGGAAGCATGACTTCTGGATTAGGTGTTTCAGGGTGATATTCCTGAATTTCCAGCATTTACTAAAGACAGAATGTGTTGGGAGCAACAAACATTTGCAGTACTGGCTGAAATTGTGGGTTTTGAGGCACCACGTTTCTCAAGTTTCCTTCCCTCTTATTTTCAGATCAAATACATTCAAAACAGGAAGTTTGACTTGTACCTTTTATTTTGTAAGACTTTTCCCCACTTAGTCTTAGTTTAGACGGGTGGGATTTGTTGTTAAAATCTGAACTCTGTGATTCAGCATCCCTTAACTGATCGCAGCTCTTGTTTGAAGGTTATTTGCCATTTATAATGTTTAGGGTTTTTTTTCCTCCCTTTCCCTCTCCTGGCAGCCATGGCAATGACAGGCCCCACGCCGTGCTCCTCCATGAGCAATCACACCAAGGAGCGAGTTACGATGACAAAGGTGACGTTAGAAAACTTCTACAGCAACCTCATTGCACAGCACGAGGAGAGAGAGATGAGGTAAAGATCTTCCTTGGTTCTTTTCCAGACTGGGTAAGGGCCCGAATTTATATTAACTGCGTTTGGCTTTCTTGAGCCAAAGCAAAAATCATAACATCACAGGATGGTTTGGGTTGGAAGGGACATTAAAGCTCATTTTGTTCCACCCCCTCTGCCATGGGCAGGGACACCTCCCACTATCCCAGGTTGCTCCAAGCCCCATCCAACCTGGCCTTGGACACTTCCAGGGATGGGGCAGCCACAGCTTCTCTGGGCAGCCTGTGCCAGGGCCTCCCCACCCTCACAGGGGAGAATTCCTTCCCAATACCCCATCTAACCCTGCCCTCTGGCACTGGGAAGTCATTCCCTGTGTCCTGTCCCTCCATCCCTTGTCCAAAGTCCCTCTCCAGCTCTCCTGGAGCCCCTTTAGGCCCTGCAAGGGGCTCTCAGGTCTCCCTGGATCCTTCTCTTCTCCAGGTGAATCCCCCAGCTCTCCCAGCCTGGCTCCAGAGCAGAGGGGCTCCAGCCCTTGGAGCATCTCTGTGGCCTCCTCTGGATTTGCTCCAGCAGCTCCACGTCCTTGTGCTGTTGTTCCCAGAGCTGGAGGCAGCTCTGCAGGGGGGTCTCACCTGAGGGGGCAGAGGGGCAGAACTCCCCCCTCCCCTGCTGCCCACACTGTGGGATCAGCCCAGGCCATGGGGGATTTCTGGGCTGGTCATGTCCAGCCTCTCACCCACCAACACCCCCGAGTCCTTCTCCCCAGGGCCGCTCCCAATCCATTATCTGCCCAGCCTGTGTTTGTGCTGGGATTGCCTTGATCCATGTGCAGGACCTAAAGGAAGACAATCTTTTCAGGGACAAGGAGGGGTTGCTGTGAGGAGTCACTCAATGCTACCTGGACCTGTGGCACCTCTTCCAATCCATCAGTCCAGCGTAAAATGGGATTGGACTGAGCTGTGTGACTTTCACTTTCCTTTTTGGCTGGAACCTTCTAATTTGCTGAACACCCTCCAGCTGCAGCACTTCTGCTGTTCTCCCAGCTTGCCATGGAGTCTGTAATCAGAATTTGGAAAGCGGTTCAGTGTTGGTTCCCTTTTGGCCTTGCTGCCAAAGCCATAACGAGCTCCCAGAGCAAGGAATGCCAGCTCACTACAGGAGCTGCAGAAATGAGGCAGCAATTTAGAAATAAATCCTAACTTGCAGAGATATTTCCTTCAGAGTTGCAGATTAGGAGAGATTGAGGTCTAATTCAGACAGAAAATATCACTGATTTAATTCCCTTCTTTCTCTTTGCACAGCTCTTGCTTTTTAAATTTAATTATTTATTATGAGCACTATTGTCTACTCCCCAAAATCTCAATTTTTTTTTTCCTGTCTGGGATCAAGACTTTGTCTGAACAAACAGACTGGACTTTATAAGTTACATGTTTTTTGTAACAAGAGATGTTTCTGTGGTTGTGCAATTTGGAGTTTAAATGGTGTTGACACTGTATCCTGAAGTGCAGATTGGGCCTGGTAAGGATATTTGGGAGAATTCTGACCTGGGCTCTTTAATTCTGTGTACTGCACAGGCTTTTGCTACTGGAGTCACTGGTTTGAGTTTGGACTGGGAGGACTGGACAGGGCTCAGTGGGTTCCTAAACAAGGGCAAAGCGATTGAAATGTGCCCGATGGTGAAGTGATAACCCCAAATTTTATCGCTTTGCAGCAGCTGCTCAGAGCCCCAGGAGACAGGAAGAGGATCTTGTGAAGGATGATTTGCAGAAAGAGAAGGAATTTTTTGGTGCATTTGTAATGTTAGACAATAAAACCCCCCAAACCACCAATCCCAGTTCAGCCAGCTGTAATTATGGTCGGCATTGGGAAAAAATTCCCAGAGGATAATCACTGCAAGTGTCCCCTGAAGCCATTCCCCTTCTGAAGTCTTGTTTCCTTCTTTCTTTTCTCCCAAATGACCCTTGTGGACTAAGGCTGTAAATATTTCTGAGTTCTTTAAAGAGGAGAACATGTACAGACACGTTTCCTCTTCCCAAATATTTGGAGTATCTCAGGTCTCAGGAAGTCTAAAGTGACTTTTCTCCTCTCACACATGATGAGTTTGAGATGCAGAGAAATTTAAAATGTGTTTAAAGAGCCAATTCTCCCCAAAATAGGTCAGACTTTGGTGTTTATTTGTTATGGCTCTGCCCTGAAGGGACTTGCCCAGCTGTCAGAACGAGACAAGAATTGAACCCAGATCTCCTCAGTCTGGGTTTGTGTACAACAAAAATGTACAGTTGAATAACATGTGAAACTCAGGGCAGGTTTGGATTATTAAAATTAGAGAGGACAAGGTTGGAATTTTAAATTTGGATAGTAGATGCTTCAAAATTATTCTTCTGAGTCTCCCTTGTACATAATACACTTATTTGCTGGCACATTCTGTGCCATGCTGGTGGATCTGTGCACGTGATTAAGAAACAACGTTAATGATTCAACCTTTATTTTTCTAATTTGATTAAGAAAACAAGGTTAATGGTTCAGCCTTTATTTTTCTAATTTCTCTCTGCTCTAGACAAAAGAAACTAGAACAGATGATGGAAGAAGAAGGCTTAAAAGATGAAGAGGTAATGGAAAAATTATCGTAATACTTTAATATTTTTCTTTTCTAAATGGAAATCTGGGATCTTTCCTTGAAGTTGCTGTGATCCCTGTGGAACCCACCTGCAGAATTCTCACTGGGGTTTCTTAAATTCTAGAAAAGGATCAGGAGATCAGCCCATGCACAAAAGGAAACGGAGTTTCTTCGCCTGAAGAGAACAAGGCTTGGACTGGAGGACTTCGAGTCTTTAAAAGTGATAGGCAGAGGAGCATTTGGAGAGGTGAGTCCAGCCAAAAAAAAAGTGGTTTTAAACTGGCTCTGGTGGTCTGTTAAAGGCTTGCTTAGTTTATACAAGCAAAAGGTAAATGCTGTAGCAACCACAGACTGATTTTTAGCTGAACAGCCACGTGCATCTTTTTACCCAGTAAATGCTGGTTTAAAACATCCTGTGCTTTAAAGGAACCTGAACGGTGTCGAAAAGGACTTGGTGGGGCAGGTTTGGAGAGGGTTTTAATGCTGGATTTGACTGCAGTCCTTGTGTGCTCCCCAGGTGAGGCTGGTGCAGAAGAAGGACACGGGGCACGTCTATGCCATGAAAATCCTGCGCAAGGCCGATATGCTGGAAAAAGAGCAGGTAAATACCCCCCTCTTGGGCAGCACTGAGTGAATCCAGGAGGTCACTGGGATGTGCACAAGAGGCAACTCTGGTTTAGGTTTAGCAGCTAAAAAATTGTGGGCTTTTTTTTCTTCCCCCCGCTCCTTTTTTATGCAGGAAATAAGTCAGAAAAACCTCTAAATTCCTAAGGGCTCGTCTTCTTCTTCTTTAACACAAACTCATGCAAATGATTCGGTGTAGACTTCAAAATCAGTGTTTTCTTGCGTTTCTGATTTATGGGATCAGATACAACTGCTGGAATTCAGGCCCAGAGAGACATCAAGTAGCAGCATTTAACATTTTTAAGGCTTCCTTTTAGTACTTCTGGGAATAAAATGATCTCAGAACAGTCTTTTCTTGTTCAGCACTGGGGCGAAGCTCTTGAGTTTTCAAAGAGAGATCTTATGGTTAGATATTTTTGTAAAGAACTGAGATACTTCTGGGTATATGATTTATATATAGGGGTTTAATAGGTTTATATTATGGGTATAAAACCTATCTATGTAATTAACCATATATTGAAATTCTGATGGTGTTTCTGCCCTTGTGCAGAGGTTTTGACTGTTACCTGCTCGGTATTTGATGTTTTCCAACCTAACACTTGAATTGGCTGTGCAATAAATGCATCCAGTAAAACTAACCCAGGGCATGTGTGCCTGTCCAGGTTGGCCACATCCGTGCCGAGCGGGACATCCTGGTGGAGGCCGACAGCCTGTGGGTCGTGAAGATGTTCTACAGCTTCCAGGACAAGCTAAACCTCTACCTGATCATGGAGTTCCTGCCTGGAGGTAACTGGGATCCAAACGCTGCTTTCCTGCTGTTTGGGGATTTGCTAATTTGTTAATCACAAGCGTAGTCCGAGATTAGGGTGTGTGTGGGTACCCCGCGCTTGTACATCTGGGAGGGGGAAATCTTTGTAGAGGTTTTTCTGCTTTTTGGGGTGCTGAGATGTTTGGGGCAAGCTTGAGGTTTCCTGCTTGGGTTTGAGCTGCAGGTGTTTCAACTTGGCCTGAACATTCTTCTGTTTCCTCCCCCTGGCTGTGAGCAGAACCCCCACATAACCAGGTTTGGATTCTCTAACCTGTTGTTTTTAACTGAGTGCAGCAGAAATAGCTCTTTTTTTCCTATAAATGTCCTACAGGGTCCCAGTTCTTTCCTCCTAATGACCTGGACTGACCACATGGACTGATAAAATCCCAAGTCTGGTTTTCCTTATTGAAAATTGGAAGTGGTGGTGGGACAGTGGTACCTGGAGGCTGCAGGGGGAGAAGTTCCAGGGGGAACTGGACAGAAGGTCCCAATTCTTTCCTCATAACAACCTGGACTGTGACATGGACTGTTAATTTAATGTCTTAAATTAGTGGGAGTAGAGCCCATGTGTTCACCTCTGGGGGGGTTTCCAGGTGACATGATGACACTGTTGATGAAGAAAGACACTCTGACAGAGGAGGAGACACAGTTCTACATCGCTGAGACCGTGCTTGCCATTGATTCCATCCATCAGCTGGGCTTTATCCATCGGGATATAAAACCAGACAACCTCCTCCTGGATAGCAAGGTATGGACTGGCCACTGGTGGGGAGGATAAACAGGCCTTGTGGTTTTTAACATTGACCTGAGCTAGTGCTGAGGGTTGTGAAAGAAGTTGGTGCCTCTTTTTTTAGCCCTGGTCATTCCAGCTTTTGAGGTGTAGCTGCCATAATGCTGGGAAAAACCCAAGCCAGGAGAGGCCTCCCTTCCACCCCAGCTGTGCTCAGACCTCGAGCTCTCTGACAGCTGTTTAAGCTATTTTTGGCTATTTCAGCTGGAGTTTCAGTTCTCCCCTCGTAGCCAAAGCTGTTTCCTTTTGCTCTCACATCTGTTACGCTCCCACTTGCCAGCATGGGGGTAGATGGTTCTACCAAACATGAAGGATTTGGCTGTTCCAGGCTGAGGATGGAGGTGGGATCTCCCTCAGGATCGGGATCTGTTCCTGAGGGCTGGCCAGGCTGCCTGGTTATTGCAGGCAGTTTGCAGAAAGCCTCATTGTTTCAGTATCCTCCTGTTGCTCACCCCAGATATACCTGCAGCTTCACTCTGAAGTGATCAGGAGCTACAGGAGCAGAGGTTTCTGAAGGGCTTTCTTTGTGGAATAGTGATCAAAGTATCAATAGCTGCATTCCATGTACACATCCAGTGTTAGGCTAAAACAAGGGATGCCAAGGACATGGAGGAGCTGGAGCATGTCCAGGGAAGGGAACAGAGCTGGGGAAGGGGCTGGAGCACCAGGGGCTGCTGAGGGAGCTGTGGGGGCTCAGCCTGGAGAAAAGGAGGCTCAGGGGGGACCTTCTCACTCTCTGCAACTCCTGAAAGGAGGTTGTGGCCAGGAAGGGGTCAGACTCTGCTCCCAGGGAACAAGGGACAGGACAAGAGGAAACGGCCTCAAACTGTGCCAGTGGAGGTTTAGGTTGGATGTTAGAAAAGATGGTTTCCTGGAAAGGGTGATCAGACACTGGAATAAGTTGCCCAGGGAAGTGGTGGAGTCACAGTCTCTGGAAGTGTTCAAGAGGCATCTGGATGTGGCACTTGGGGACACAGTTTAGGGGGATGAAGATGGGGCTGGGCTCTCTTCCAGCCTTGCTGATTCTGTGATTTGCTCTGATAATGTCTTGTGTCGGTTCTGTCTTTTGGTTGGTTTGTTTCATTTCCAGGGCCACGTGAAACTCTCAGACTTTGGTCTGTGTACTGGACTGAAGAAAGCCCACAGGACAGAATTTTATAGAAACTTGAACCACAGTCTTCCCAGTGACTTCAGTAAGTTCTTTGGCTCCAAAGGGTGTCTGGGTGGTTGTTCCCAGTGCCTGACATAACTCACTTTAGTGTGAGGGTAGAAGGCTGCAGTGGGGGGCCCTAATAATCAAATTACATCTTGAGGTGTAATTTTGATTTTCTGTAAAATAAAAGTAGTTTCAGTTACTTTAATGTACAAACCCACCTTCACTTCCAGAAGTTTGTCACTGAAACACACTCTGCTGTAGCCCTTTGCATGTGTAACAAACCTGGGATGAAAGGATGGTGGGTAGGGCTGCATCTCAAGTGTTATTTAAATTAATAAGCAAGGACAGGCTCTTTGAATATTCAGGAATTTTCTCATGGGGAATCACTTGGATCATGGATTTAAATAAACCCTGAAAGTGTAACGGTTTGGGGGTAAAAATGTGTATTTGGGTGACTGTTAGGGCTCAGTCACTGATATTGAATCTCCTTTAGCTTTTCAGAACATGAATTCCAAAAGGAAAGCAGAGACCTGGAAGAGGAACCGACGGCAGTTGGTAAGTAGGTCTCACCTGGCTGGAAATGTTCCTGCTCAGGAACGTCATCCAAATGGCACATGGATGCACATGGAAGGGGTTAATGCATTCCAGAGTTCTGAACAGTCCAGGAAGGAAGGGATTGCTGCATTTTTCTTTGAAAAAAAAAGAGAAATGACTCTAATTTGTCCTTCACCCATCTGCTGAACAGCTGGTGACACGTGTGCCTGAGATGGCACTGCCAGAATTATTTGCATGGGTATCTGATGGTTCCCAGCCAACACTAAAGGGTCTTGCCATCCAATCTAACAAAGGGCTGCTGACCCCATTCCAAGGTGTATCTGGACAGTGGTACCTTTCCCCACATTCCTGATGGTTATTTTAAGACACCTGCACGTGAACACATTGATTTTGTCTCTATATATCATGACATAAAGGCTTTACCCAGCTTTGCTAAAGGATCTCAGAGACAATCCGGTGTCTTCCTTAAAATAACCAGTGTTGTTGAAGTCCCCACTTCCATGGCAGGCAGCTTTCCCTAAAGATGCATGACTGATGGTGTTTGTTCCAGGCTTTTTCTACTGTGGGAACTCCAGATTACATTGCTCCTGAAGTTTTCATGCAGACTGGGTACAACAAGCTTTGTGACTGGTGGTCCCTGGGGGTCATCATGTACGAGATGTTGATCGGTAAGGAAGGGGCGGTGCAGGGGTTGTAAACAGGGGTTGTGGTGTTAGGATACCAGCTGTATTTCATGGAATCATGGAATTCCAGACTGGTTTGGGCTGGGAGAGACCTTAAAGCTCATGCTGTCCTGCCCTGGGCAGGGACACCTTCCACCAGCCCAGGTTGCTCCAAGCCCCGTCCAACCTGGCCTTGGACACTCCCAGGGATGGGGCAGCCACAGCTTCTCTGGGCATCCCTGGTCAGTGAGGTGTGCTCTGACCAGCACATTGTAGACTTCAGGAACTGGTTTTGCTTTATCCCAGAGGGTGTTTTTGTTTCTGGTCAGGTTACCCACCGTTCTGTTCCGAGACTCCTCAAGAGACGTACAAGAAAGTGATGAACTGGAAAGAGACCCTGACGTTTCCTCCAGAAGTTCCAATCTCTGATAAAGCAAAGGATCTTATTTTAAGGTGCCAGCCACATGGGTTGCCAGTTAATATAGCACTGATTTTCTTGTCTTGCTAACTGTGTTCTGTGCCTCTCATGGCTTGTTTCACGTGGAAAAACCCTGATGGTACAAACTGTTGTGCACATGCATCAAATGCTGAACTCCCTCGTCAAATACTTTTGTCTCTCAGGTCATTTAGTTGTTCCCTGACTGCTCTGGCAAAATGTTTCTGCTCCTTATTTTGCCTGCAAGCTTCTCGTGGAAGCCACTTCAATCCTTCTGCCAGAGCTGGCTTGTTACAACAGGAATGATTTTGCCATTGGATGCACTGGAGCATACAAATGTATCCCACTGTATTTCCAATCGTTATCTATTCTCAGGACAGAAATATAAAGGTCTGCATTTTTAGGCTTTATATGTTCTCCTGCTCTATCCTGGTCCTGAAATAGAAAGGCCACATTATCCTGTTGTGAGGGAATGGCACATCTTGACTGTGGCATTGGACACCACATTCCTGAACATAACTTTTGTGTGTTGTTTTTTTTTTTGCTGTGGGAGTTCTTAGTCTGCTCCATTTGTATGTTAAGAAACTGTAGCAGTTATCAGTCCAGAAAGCTGTTCCATTTCTGGATGGAATGCTTTCGTTTTCATTCTCCCTTCATTTTCATTCTTCCTTCCATCCCAGATTTTGCTGTGAATGGGAGCACAGAATTGGTGCATCTGGTGTGGAGGAAATAAAGAGTAACCCATTCTTTGAAGGGGTTGATTGGGAGCACATCAGGTAAGATGCTTTGCAGAAAAGGAAGCTGCTCTTCTCTAGGGACTGTCCAGGCCAGTCCTGTTCAGCAGCAGGGAGCAGCTGAGTGGAATTTATCATATCCAGGTGTGGGTGAAAGTATTTTGTTCCCTACCTGAAACTTGCTGAGGTTTAGGCACCTTCAGTCTTGATTCTGTTAAGAAAGGGAAAGTGGCTGAATCCTGCTTTGTCTTTGAAATCTTAATGCTCCATCTGCTCTTCTTGGCAGAGAGAGACCTGCTGCGATTTCCATAGAAATTAAAAGCATTGATGATACCTCAAACTTTGATGAATTTCCAGAATCTGATATCCTTAAACCAACAGGTAAAATGATTGATTGATTCTGCATGTGAACAATCCTTCCTCTTCTCCAGTAAAATCATCTTTCCTGTTAATCAGAGAAAGGATCTTACTAGGTGCTATTTTTTTTTTTTTTTAATCATGACCACATAAGGCTTGGTGGCCTTGCGGTGCAGGGTGTGCAAGCTGGAATTTGGGGTTCCAGGAGATGCAGGATGGAAATGATGGGGGAACTGTCTGAGAAAGGGCATCTCTGAGGCAGAAGAGCTCCCAGCAAGTCTCAGCAGGACCTTGTTACTGGGTGATCCCTGCTGGCACAGCTGGCACTTGGAGTAGTGGGTAGGGAAGGGTGGGACATGTTTTGGTATAAATCTCTAAAGGATCACAGCATAGTCACACATTTGCTCCATGAGTTTAAATACAAAATCCCAGAATGGTTTGGGTTGGAAGAGATCTTAAAGCTCATCCTGTTCCACTAGCCCAGGTTGCTCCAAGCCCTGTCCAGCCTGGCCTTGGACACTCCCAGGGCATCCACCACCTCTCTGGGCAACCTGTGCAAGTGTTTCATAGCCCACACTGTAAAAAATTTGTCTGAATCTACCCTTTTTTAGCTTAAAATCATTGTGCCATGTCCTGTGTTCCAGCAGTTCTTTCTCGGGCTTGAAGCACGAAGCTGAATCCTGGGTTTATGATATTTTTTTCCTGCCCTAATCCACATGCAGTGTTTTGTAGGAAAACAAACTTGGCAGTCTCCAAAGGGTAATTTTACTACCTTCTGTGTCTTCCCAGTGGCAACAAGCAACCACCCAGAGACCGACTACAAGAACAAAGACTGGGTTTTTATCAATTACACCTACAAGCGTTTCGAGGGCCTGACGGCCCGAGGAGCAATCCCATCCTACATGAAAGGAGGGAAGTGACACCAGCTTTACCTGGGACTTCTGAGCCGTGGAATTCTGTTGCTGTACTTTGGGTTTATACCCATAAAAGAACTTTTTTTTGTTTTTTTAAGAAAACTTGAGGGCTGTCAACTCTTGGAGAAGACTTCAGGACCCTTGTTTTGTTACACACCTGGTTGTTACAAAGGATTTTTTTTTTTTTTCCTGCCACCATTGAAAAATTCCACAACATGTTTGCATCATCTCTGCTGCCAGCACCTTTGGCTGCTTCAGGAGCAAGAGTTATTCCTTTTGAAATCCTTTGCCAGATTGTACAGTTTGGAGATGGGAGCCTTCCCTTTTGGCATTGCAAAGCACGGGACTCTCTAGGATGGTTTGCCAGTCCTGCATTAAGTGACAAACTCACTCTGCCAATTCTGCCAGCACTGTTTGCCCAGTGGCTGAGGGCTCCAGTAACAAAGCAATAATTAAAGGTTGAGACAGACAACTCTCCAGGAAACTGGAGCAGAAGGACACGACTCGGATCGCCTTAACCTTAGTTTGTAGTGCTGTTTTTATAATGCTCCTTGGAAGCCTCTCTGTAGCATTTCTCAGCTCTGTCACAGTGGCCTCCACTCCTGGTGCACTTTACTTTTGGTACTAAGTGACCCTCAAGCCATTTAATACTTTTTTCTAAATTAAAAAAAAAAAAAAAAATCGTGCAACACTTTTCCTTCCCCGGATAGAGGAGAAATGGGCCATTTCCTGCTCCCAGGGCCGAGTCTTTGGTCACTGTGTGACAGGGTGGATCTGTAACAGCACAGATAATAAACTACAGCTGCTCCCACTGTGCATCTGGAATTAGAGCAGAGAGGGAGGGAAGTTCCTTGAACCTGATCCCGGCTGGGTAAGTTGTGCAGAGCTGGCTCAGCCCGAGGCTCCCTCGGCTGGCTGGTGCCATCTCTTGGCCATCCCTGAGCTCTGCTACATCTCCCCTGGCCTAAAGATAAAAGAACATCTTCTGTGGCCTTTTTGCTCTTGGTTTTGAGCAGAACAGGATCAGAATGTTGCTGGTGGAGGCCTGCCTGATGTTTCCTTACAGAGCTGCTCTTGCTGTCCTGGCTGAACCATCTGTCCCTGGAGTCTTCCACCGGCCGGGGTCACTTTTGGGGCAGTGGAACCCACCGTGTCCACTCTTAGGTTATTGCCTACTGTAACTTGTAAAAGTTCTGATCAGGTTCTCTCCAGGAGAGCCCCAAAGTGCCTTTCCTTGCCCAAGCCTCTCTGGCAACGTGACACCATTTAGGGAGGGAGGGTCCTGCCTCAGCTGAGCTTTTCCCAATTCCTTTTTCTGTTTGTAGTTAACTCTGCACTTCCAGGGGCAGGTGGCATTAACCCTTTGGGCCTGCCTGGTTCCAGTCTGTCATTTGCCATCAGACTGATAAAAATCCTAACTTTTTGAGGTTTCCAAAAGCGCGTCTCAGTTTGAATTGTCTTGGATTCCTGCAGACTTCTATTGGTGCTGAACAAGTCCAGAGTACAGACAAGACAAAGCTCGAGTGATGCTTCACAGGAACAAAGAAAAAGGAAAAAAAAAAAAAAAATAAAAGGCTTCCAGGGCTGTTTAGTCCTGAATTTCTCGACTAGGAAACAAAACAAAATGGGTTTGTAGTGGAACTTTTTTTATAATAGGTGCTTTTAGGGAATTTTTACCTACATGTCTTTGGAGTGCCATCCTGAAGGACGGAGGGGGGATTGCCAGTACTGTACATAACTCGTGTCCTCTCCCTCACCACCCCCTGTGCTTTTTGTACCTGCCCCACGACTTTAATGACTTGCCATAAGCAGTTTTTAGGTACCAGTTGGATCCTACCGAGCTGAAATGCAAAATAGCCTTAATTAGAAGTGATCCCAGGATCGCCGTAGCCAGCAGGGCTCACTTGGATGAATAAGGGCTAATGGAAGGAATGGCTTACAGGATCAGGCTTTTACCAACTCGTCCCTAAAATCACCTTCTGCTCCCTTTGTACTTTGTGTGAAGGGCTGATACCAACTCCTCCTGCAGTTTCTTCCAGCCATCTGAAAATGTTGCCTTATAAACCATTGGAAATAATATAAAACCTTTTTTTTTTTAATTCCTAACTACTTAGTTATTGCCTTAAAAAATGAAATAAAAATCAGAATCCTTTCGAGCTGCTGTGGCTTAGCAACAAATGATTTTGAGATAGTAGCTGCATTCGTAGCCCTTTACTGAAAGGGACCAGCGTTTTTATTTACAAATACCAAAGAAGTTAAACCATTTTAAGTTGTGATGACTTGCTGTGAAAAAACCCAACTCTCTAGCGCTGTGTATTGTGCATTTTTAGTGCTGTGTTTGAAGCGTGACCCCTCAGGTCACGGAGCTCAAGGGGGTTTCTCAGAAGTTGGGTACCTCATTCCTGTTGTCTTCCAGCAGAAGTTGGATGTCCTTGAATCCAGTCCTCTTGGACACACCTGCATTGGTAGCGTAACTAAGGATTTTGGATGCCTGTTCCATCTCCCAGGGTAGCCAAACATTTTCCTTAGCTGCTTGTGTTTTGAGGTTGTTTGTATCTTTAGCTCTTTTTTTTTTTTTAATTAACCTGCAGTTGCTGGACTTGTAGGAGTTAATTCCAGTCTGAATTTCCAATGGATCTGAACACCTTGTGCTGCCAGTTCATCTCTGTATCATGCCTAGCACAAAGCTGCACTAAAAGTCTTTCTTATCACTGTGCCCTCACTCTGCCTTAACCTCTCCAGCTGAGAAAACATTTTGTAAATATTTAAAAGCTGTTCCACAATTGCACTGTAAAATTGGGCAGGTGTAGTCAACTTTTTATGGACAGATCTCATTGTGTCGTGTAAATAAAATCCACTTCAGTAGACGCACTGGTGCTGGCATGTTGTGTTTTACCAGCTGGAATTGTGGAATCCCAGACTGGTTTGGGTTGGGAGGAGATTTTAGAGATCCAGTCCCACCCCTTGCCCTGGGCAGAGACACCTTCCACTACTCCAAAACCCTCTATCCCCCTATCCCCAGCCTGTTCTTCTACTCCACAGTTAAAACAAGTTTTAGAAGAGCCACACAGGTCATATATAATTTATATTTTAATACAGAAACCATACATCTGGAGTTCATACACAGCACGGGGAACACTTCAGTACATCTAGAATAAGACAAGAGTTGACCTTGTACCTGAAGTAGGTGACCATGAGAGGAGGAAAAGCAAACACTTTGTCAGTTTTATTCAGTGTTCCAATGGAATTCACTTTGCTAACAAAAATTAAAACCCCAAATTCACCTTGAATTACTCGGGAGAGCCAATAAACTACACTGGGCGAGTGGTAAAAAGTGCATGGCAATCATGGGAGCTGGATATCTCCATCCCAGGCTGAAGGTCCAGCTGATTCCACAGGGAACCACAAGCTCCTGCAGGCAGTGACAGTCCTGAACCTGTGGCCACTCTTTCTAACAAAGAGGCTGAGCTGACCCTCGGGCTCAGGGACACACAGGGTGGGATTTGTTTTGGCTGGCCATGGGACTTTGCTGTCAGATCCCAAAAGGTGCCATGGAGGTCCAATTCTCAGCACCTGATGCCTCGAGAGAGTCCTGAAGAAGAGCTTTCAACAACACACACACCCTTCAGTCCTTACGAGCAGAACATGTGTAAGCTCCCAACTCCCAACTCAGCTGGGCAATGCCAATACTCAAATAATTAAAACTGACACTGAGGTAAAAATAAATACACACTGAAAAACATAATCAAAGGGCCTGGGGGCAACCTCCATCCCTGCTGGGCACACCCAGGCTCACCAGTGCTGCTGCCTGTCCTGAGGGAACGGGTTTGGTCTGGCCCCTGGTGGGAGGTTAATGGTCCATAAGTCTTCCTTTCTCTACTACAAAAATAGAAATTCATCTGGAGCAACAGAGGGAGTGACTGCACAACCCCCCCAGCCCTGTGCAGGCACCGAAGGACACTTCTTGTACTGACCCAACGACACGGAGGGAGGAGTTTTTTCAAAAGTACTCAGGTGGAACTTGGGCATCTGAAACCCCTGGGACCTGAAATCTTCCCATAGGCACTTTTAAAAAGAAGAGACCTATTTGCTGCACTTGAAAAAAAAAACCCCTAAGAACAGAAACCTGTATCCACACAAATGGGAACTGAAGTATCAGCCATAGGTGTCTTGGCAGAGCTTTGTTACTTGTAACTACAAATTTTTGCCTGATCTTGTCACGTTTTACACTGAAAACCACAACCATCCCCAGCAGCAAACAGCAGCAATCTTCACTGGTCAACAAATGCTCCATGCACTTGGCAGTCAGAGGGAGAACAATACAGATTCCCTTGATGATGCAGTCCTGATAATAAAAGATTAAACTTTCCAGGGGCAGACTAATACTGACCTCCACTTTGCCAAGTCTGACCAGGTAACTCAGTGCCCAAATGGTCCAGGTTTCAAGAGCAGCACTGACCTGAACCACCCTGCAAGGAGCCCTGTCCCTCTCTTCCTTTTTGAATGCTTTCAGCTTTTCTTTGCACCAGCACCATGTCCAGATACTCCAGTCCTGGAGTATTCAAACTCCCCTCCAGCCAGAAGGGATGGCTTTGTGAGGCTCAGCTGGGGCAGAGCTGAACTCCCCACGGGCTCAGCAGTGGTTAAGCCAGCCTAGAGGGAAGTCCTACAGGTTATTCCTATAGGAAATTCCAACAGGAAACTCCTGCTGCAGGAACAAGACCAGCAAGCTCCAATCTATCTGTGCTAAACCAGCCTGGAGTGTGGCTGTTCTCACAGGGAAAGCTTTGCTGGCCCTGAACCCAAAATTCCCAGAGCCTTACACAGATCAGGACACTACACCCAGAGCAGCAAAGGAGTTGTTCCCAGGGATGTGTATTTTTCTCTCCTGAGGGCTGGTTTACTGTAGGTATTTCTTACCTGCCTGACAACAAAACAATCCACTCAGTTCCAACCTGGGAAGGAGCTGGCCTTCCAAAGCTGCAGCAGCAGAGAGTTCCTTGGAGAGTCTCCAGGAATTCTGACCAACTAAAGTGGATGAGACCAAGGATTTTACTCAGGTACTGTTTGTACTGGGAGCTCCTCCACTGGCTTTTTTTGTCTCAGAAGGGGGATGAAGGAGACAACTGAAAGTCTGTAGCATGCACAGTCACCTCTAGAAAGCTTCACATCTATATGGCTACTAAACAGATTTACTGGGTTGGTAAAACATCAGCTACAGTCTCTCTTTTGGGTTTTCCTTCAGCACCATCTACTTGTTTTACAGAACTTAAGAGAACACATCCCTAAAAACAATGATTCCATCTCATGGAGAAGTAAATATGGGAAATTCCTGTGAGCAGGCATATGCTTCCTATGGACCTGGTTCATCCTAGGACAGTACAGCACGCTGGATCCAGTGCAAACAGATTCCTCCACGCTCAGGATTTTGCTGTCACGACTGTGCTACATTTCTGCTGGTTGATGAAAGAGCATCATCTGTCCTGCTTTGATGTTCTGCTCCTCTGCAACTGATTCCCACAAAAGCAAAGCTAAGTGCCTAATGGGAAAGGAAAGCTTTGTCTCTTGACAGGCCCAGAATTTCCTCTCTCAACGCCAAACAAGCTGTTTCTACATAATTGTGCTCTTCTTTTAGAAGTTTGGATAAAATATTCAGCGCCCACCAATCCGGAAGCCTTTGCAGCAGAAACAAACGGCATCATTTCCTTTTTGTCTGAGGAGATGTTGCTTTTGATTGCACAATTAAGACTATGGAGTGTGGCTCTTTTATTAACATGCTTGTAAATATGACAACGTAGTTAAGAGCATGAACGAGGATAAAGCACCTTGCAAGGAGTCCGTGATCCACCGCTCAGGGACGAGAGCACGAGGAGATGTCCCCCACATCCAGCAGGACCCTCCCGGCCCCTAATCCGGGAAATCGTTCAGAACCATCTGGGAGAAGGGGGCGTTCAGCCTGTCCAGCTCATCCACCTGTGGGGGGTGATGCATCATCACCTCGTGGTCCTCTGAGACATCGTCCCCCACCGTGACCAGGTTGGTGAGGGATTTGCTGCGAACGCACTGGAAATCCACGTGGCGGCTCTTGCCCTCTTCCTTCTCCCAGGACATCTGGATGAACGGCCGCTGGACGTAGTTGTAGATGACTTCTGAGCGGCCACCAGGCCTCCTCTTCACCTTCTCTTTGCAGGTGGGATAGCCTGGAAACACAGACAGTCCCCCTCAGCTGCACTGCGCCCCTCTGACTCTCAGCAGCATTCCAGAAGAGCCAGGTGGGAGTGACTGTGGGGTCAGGGTGGGACACACACACACACATTTTGCATTACTGGCTTGCAAAAGACTGTTCTCTTTTCCCCTGCCAAGGAGTCCTGGGAGGCTGGACGTTCCTCGAGAAGGAAAACTTGAAGCTGCAGGAGCAGGGCATTCCCATGTGCCAAAGATGGGAATGAAAAGCAGGAAGAAGGGGCAGGTAAATCAGGAGGGCTCTGAGAATGCCACGAGGTTATGCAGGGGAAAAAGTCAGAAGGGCCAAGGCTAAACATGAGGTCAGGTGTGCCCAGGTGGGCAAGGAGGCCAAGGGCATCCTGGCCTGGACCAGCAATAGTGTTCTAGTAGAACCAGGACAGGGATTGTCCCACTGCTGAGTCCACATCTTGAATCCTGGGGTCAGAATGAGACAGACATTGAGTGGCTGGAGCATGTCCAGAGAAGGGAACGGAGCTGGGGAAGGGGCTGGAGCAGCAGGAGCAGCTGAGGGAGCTGGGAGGGCTCAGCCTGGAGAGAAGGAAGCTCGGGGGGGACCTTCTCACTCCAACTCCCTGACAGGAAGGGGGAGCCAGCTGGGGATCAGGTTCTGCTCCCAGGGAACAAGGACAGGACAAGAGGCAAAGGCCTCAAGTTGCAGCAGGGGAGGTTTAGGCTGGATATGAGGGAAATTTTCTTCACCAAAAGGTTTGTCCAGCCCTGGCACAGCTGCCCAGGGCAGTGGTGGAGTCACCATCCCTGAAGGCACCAAAAACATATGTGAATATGGCACTTGGGGACATGGTTTAGTGGTGGGCTTGGCAGTGCTGGGTTAATAGTTGCACTCAGTGGTCTCAGAGGGTTTTTCCAACCTAAATGATTCCATGATTCTCTGACAAGAGGGTGCAGCACCGTGTGCAGTCAGTCATAGGATCAATAGCTGCACAGCATCAGCCATTTTGTGAGCAAACACAGCTACTATAAAAATAAGACAGTCTCCCAGGACAGAGCATAACTTTCTCTGGACTCCCTAAGGGAATGCTTGGAGCAGCAGGTGGAATCATTTGACTCCTGTTTCCTGTTTACTCATTCCTAAGGACACAAGGCGTACTGGTATGTACTTACTTATGTATCTTTTACCTTCCTTTAAGGTGAAGGAACACGCCCAGCTTTGACCAGTTTCATAAAAATAATGTAAAACACAGAGTAAAACAGGAAATACCTGGAGTTGAGAGGAAACCAGGCTTTACTGAGTGTGGAGTCACCTGTTTCAGGGTTTCCTTTGCTGAAGCAACATTTACCTTCGATGCCAATGCGAATGTTTTTCAGGCCCCGCTCCTTTAACACGGCCTTTGCCACGTCCCTGTTCTCGATGTACTTGAAGAATCTGTACAGCTTAGAACTGTAAAGGACTTGGGAAAGGAAAGAGGTGATTACAATCTACAAAGAGGAACCTTCTCCCTGGTTTTGACATGCTCAGCTGTGGGGCTGCCTAATACCAGGCGTGGTTTTCAAGGTGTCTGCTCTCCTCACCGGGATCAGTTGCACTCCCAGTCAGGACAGGCTGGGAGGTGATGGGAGTGGAAAGCAAGGAGTATTCCCTCACTAAGGAGCCAGGAAAAGGCTGAGGGGGAGGCAGGAACACGAGGAAAAGCTGCACTGTGTGCTGTCAGTCCCAACACAGGGATCAGAGCATAGCTCTAACCAACCAAGTGTCCTGCCCCCAGCAGCAGCAACTCAAAAGGAGTGCACAAAACAGGGCTAAACGTGCCAGGACACCTCCTGGAGGAAGCCTGTTGTTTAGGAATGGGCCCTTTCCCTACAGCTGGATGTTTGGCACCCAGAGCCAGGAGCCCCCAGTGCAGAGCCCTTACTCTGTGAGTACTCCTCTCCCATGGGAGGTGGATGATCTTCATCCCAGTCCACGGTGTCCTCATCTGTCAGCACGACGATGTGACACTCCCGCTCCCCTTTCCTGGCACTGTCCACCATGATGGGCAGGATCAGCTCCTCCAGGTAGCTGTCAAACTGCTTGTGAGCCCCATCGTTGGAGAGCTCGTGTAGCAGAGCGCCTGGGGAGGCAGAGAGCAGGCAGTGAGCTGTTCTGCACCATGGAAATATGGCCCAGCTCTGCACTTCCAGATCCATCCAAGAGCGCAGTCGGAATTCTGCCTCAGACAAACTGCTCAACATATGCTCAGAGGCATCAACAGCCTCCAGCTCCAGAGCTGGCAAAATCAGATGTACAAGGCTGCATTTCAAATGGGATGCAAATTACACTGCAGAACCGTTCCATGGCCACGAAAAAAAAACCCACCAAGCTCCAATCAACAGAGTGAAACAGTAACAGACTGAATAATTAATTCATTTTGATACTTAACTTGAATTCGCAGCAACAACCTCTGCCCCTGAAAGTACATTTTGCTGCCTTCTCCTTGATCACTCATCAGAGAAGAGGGCAGGAAATTCCACCCACAGCCTGTGCCACTGTACCACACACCCCATTTCACAGGTCTGCCTGTGTTAAAAGTCCTTTCTTTGCCAGCATGCCCACCAAAAAGCTGCTCCCAATCAAATCCCTTCATGGTTAGGAACTCTGTCACCTCCCAGCTCTGGTATCCTTGGTTTCTGCTTTGCCCATCATTCTTTAGCTTAAATTATTCACGATTCTCTGGTACATTTTGGATACATTTGGAGTCATAACCCTGCTTTTAGCCTTCCTTTTGTTGGCTATAACAGCAAGCTCTGCCTGGCCTCTGTTACAAAAAGAGACCAGAATGTTTATGATTTGCTTTTTGACCAAGGTGTCTCAATCACTTCAGTTCTGGTTAAGGCAGCAAAAAAGCAGCTGTTTAAATGCAGCTTGAGCCCTAGTGGAATCCACATTTCATGCTTAAACTAAAGTACATGAGTAAGAGCTGTACTGAATCAGGATCCACGCAGTTGATCTCCTAGGAGCTGATTTCTTTCCATACTTACTTAAGTCTTGACATTTGATTGTGTTGAAATCAAAGTTTATGCAGAGGTAATCACACGTGTCCCGAAGGTCTGGGATGGAAATCCCATCAGGGCAGTTAATGACTCCAGTTTTGTAATAATCCTGCAAATGTAAGGACAGTTTTTAGAGAGAAAAATTAACACTGTCTTGATAATTCTTAATTAGTTCTTGGTTTTGTTTACCAACATTTGAGAGCTACAGAGGCTGTTTATAGCTCTGTGAACAGTAAAAAACAACCCTGACTGTTCAAGAAGCTACATCTGCAGCTCCTCTTGGGTCTGATAAATGATGAGCTCCAGTTAAAGCTTTTCCCACGGCACAGGGTTTAGTGATATCTCACGTGCAACAGACATTTATATGCAACCACAAGGTCAGGGTGGCAGCTCAGGAATTCCAACAACAGGACTCAGGAAAGGTAAAAGGCAAGATGAGCAAATATCTGAATCACTGACTTCTACCAAAGCCTCCTGTATTTTTTTTTCTTTAAAAAATCACCACGCAAAACGTAAAAACAGAATGTCCCAGGGAGTGCAGCTGCCTGGAGAGACGGCTCAGCTTTGCACATGTGACAAACAGATTGTTTATTTCTTTTTTTTTTTTTTACTCCCCCAATCTGCAAACATCTCCTTACCAGCACCGTGCGGAACACGGCTGAGCTGATTCCCTCGGCGATTTCATACTCTCCCTTCTCATTTGGCCTGGTGAAATTATATTCTCTTCCTGGCCCAAACATTCTGAAGAGAGAAAAAAAAAAAAACCCACGTAAGAATACAGAAGAATACAGAAATGCATTTATTTCAGGGACAAAGAGGTGCACTGAGGTTAAAAAATGCTTCCCTGGGAGGGTGGGGACAGGCACAGGTTGCCCAGAGAAGCTGTGGCTGCCCCATCATCCCTGGGAGTGTCCAAGGCCAGGTTGGATGGGGCTTGGAGCAGCCTGGGCTGGTGGAAGGTGTCCCTGCCCATGGCAGGGGGTGGAATGAGATGGGCTTTAAGGTCCCTTCCAACCCAGGCCACTGACACAGAGATACAGTGACAAACCCACGCTCCAACCTGTTCCATGGTACATAAGCACAGGAGCTGGCTCGGGGAGGTCTGGGTTCTGTTGCTACAGCTACTGTGTAAGGAACAAGCCAAGGAACAGATCAGTCAGCCCTGGGGCAGAAAATCCCCTGGCAAATAAAGCCCTTTCACTGACCTACACCAGATAACTCCACATGTCTTGTGACCCCTTGTTTTGTTTGTTTTACACAATGACCAGTGCAAGGGTCAGTGACCTGACAGGACTATCTCCCTCTGGTCAGAGAAGGGGGAAGTGCTGGCAATACACAACATGAGTGCTTCTTGTTGCAGCAGCGGGTTCCAACCTTCCAGCCCTCTTAGAGGGAGCTGAGGAACTTCTAATTGGGAGAGTATCAAAAGAGGGCAGCAGGAGGGGATGGAGCATTATCACACTCCCCATTCAGGAGGGAGGTTATCAGCTGTGGACAGATGTGCTGCTTACAAACCAGGCAAACACTTGGAGAGAAAGCAAACTGAGACCACAAAAAGTGTGCATTTTCTGATGGAAATGGACCAAAGGGAGACTTATCTAGAGAACCACCACCTCTCCATCTGGTCACATCCTCGGGGCCTCCCTCACAGCCAAGCTCTGACTGAGGTCACCCTTGCTTTGCTTGTGTGTACAGATGAGATCACAAAACAAACACTGGGGGTTTGCTCCACTTTTAACAAACATTTGACCCACCTGAGTTATCCTGAAAACAACAGACGTGACTCACCTTCCCAGCATGGTGTCAGGGTGAGCAGTGAAGATCTGGGGGTTCACTGCAAAGCGAGTGCCATCCACCACGAGGGTCACTTTCTCGGGAGCCACTGTCTGTGAACTGCTGCTCGAAGACAAAGTGCAGCATCCGTGGCGCTCCTGGGGGCTGAAATATTCCGACTGTCTCTTATTTCCATCTGGGAAATGGCAGCTGTGAGTGTCTTCGGGAGCAGGGGGCATGCAGCTGATCTGGGGACTTCCTGGGCAGGTGTGGTGTCGGCATTCGGGATCCAAACCTGAGGGAGACAAATAAATGCTGCAGGGTAAGAGATGATTTATTGGAAAACATCTTTTCGTAGTAACACCTCCTACTGGAACGAGAAAACTGAGTCATATAATTAAGGAGTCCAATAGACATAACTGTCAGAGTAATGTTGTATCACAGAATATGCTGAGATGGAAGGAAATCACAAGAATTATCAGTCACACTCCTGGCCCTGCACAGGACAACCCCAAAATCCCACCACATGCCTGAGGGTGTTGTCCAAACAATTCTTGAGCTCTGGCAGCCTGGGGGCTGTGCCCACTGCCCTGGGGAGCCTGCTCAGTGCCAACCACCCTCTGGGGGAAGAACCTTTTCCTGATATCCAACCTAACCCCCCCCGACACAACCAGACTGTGTTGGATTTTGGATAAAAAAATTTCCTAACGAACCCCAGTGATGGTTTCAGTGGCAAAGGGCAGGAGCACAGGAAAGTAAACAAGCTCAGAAATACAGATACAGGCCCTCCCAGGCAGCTGGAGCAGCAGCACACACCTCACCAGGTGGTGCAAGTCAGCAGTGCTTGATGCTGGTCCGTGGTGGGCACACAGGACTGTCCAGCTGCTTCCAGGGAATCTGTTCAGGGACAGCCCCAGGGCATTCCCATGGGATGATCCTGCCAAGCTGCTGAACTCTGCTGTGAACTGCTGTCCTTTAGAGCAGGGTACACACTCCCCTGTGCAGCCTGCCTTGTGACACTGGAACCTTTTCCAAAAACAGAACACCCCTCAGAGAACAAAAAACTAATCTCCCTCAAAGACTGTGAGGTGAGGACGTTATCCTTCCTTACCCTCAGGCCTGGGAACTGCAGCAGGGCTGTGACCTCCTACCACCACAGCACTTTCTTCTGGCTCATGGGATGCCACAGGTCTGTTTTCCACAGGGCAACTGGACTCCAGGTTCCTCGACCAGTCTGTCCCCCCAGCACAGTTCACATTCATGCTGGGCCTCCGTGCTGTCAGGAGTTGGTGGCGTTTCCGAAGGGAAGAGCTGGAGGAAAAACACCAGGTTGTTACTTTTGGAGGGAATTCCTGAGCAATGAAGCTCAAATCCCTGGATCTGGTACCACAGGCCAAGTCCCTCAGGCTCAAAAGTTATTTTTTTTTCAGGTGTTTAACTGTGTTTCAGAGGCTTATGATGCCCCTGCATTCACTTAGGAAAATGAAAAAAGCTTTTAAAGTAACCAGGGGTCTATTAAATATATTTAATGTATTTAATCTATAAATCTTTGGGTTTTTTAAAGCTAAGACTAAAGCCACTGATGTCTTTAGCTCGCATGTGTGTTCCTGCAAATACCTTCCTGGCAATTGCCCCCCTTCCAGACCTCTAGAGCCCTTTCAACATGTTTATACATCTCCTGATTCCCAGCCCTGGCAATACGAGCTCTGTAACACGGCTGCAGCCTGAAATAGAACATTTTCCCAATTAACAGCTCAGGGGTTGCCACTTCACCACTCTGAGGTTTGACCAGGAGGTTCCCTGCTCCCAGCCACTCCTTGGTTTTGGGTTTTCCTTCTTGATTTATGCCCCTGCTGTCAACACAGTGCTCAGCCCAGGATCTAACCCAAAACACTCCTACAAAAAACACTTGTGTGATGCAGAACATCCATGGCTGGAGAAGCCTCATACACGATGCTTTAACCAACGCCACTTAAATCTGGAATGTTGTTCCAGCATATGCAGACACAGCTTCCATTTTTTTAAACATTTTTTTCCAAGTGAAATTCTTCCTAATTTGTAACTTCACTCCCTGTTATCTCCCAACAGATCTCTTTGCTCTCTTTCCCTCATTCTCTCTGGCATTTGTTTGGCCCTGGACCAGAACCAGTTCTCCTTTCTTGGCTTCAACTGTTTTCCTTCCACCCTCTCAAACACAAAGCACCAGTTTCCTCATTAATGAATTTTCCCAATTTCCCCCCTGCTGAACAATTGTCCTGTGTCTTTTCCTTGGCTGAATGAAGACCCCAGGGCCTGTGGGTGCCATCTCTGACCCCAGCCTGGTAGAGACAAACCAGATAAAACACAGCACTAATAAAACAACAAAATGCCAAGGCAGAGTTGCTGAGTTTTGTGGGCAGGACCTGCTGAGGGTGAAGCCTTAATGAGCAGTTCAGTGGTGGGTTTCAAGCCCATCGTTCCTGGCAGTCATTGGAACCATTTAATTCTTAATGAGAATTTAAAAAAGGAATTAACAGTTCCTTCCCTTTGTTCTGTAAAGCCAATATTAAGTTGCCAGCATTATTCTATCTGTGTATTTTTAGAAAATCTGTTGCTTACACATCATGTGATGAGACCCTGAACACCCCTCAGCAGAGTCCTCAACTACAACAGCTCCAAAATTATTTATAGAACTATCATCACACACAGGAACTATAATATGTGAATTTTCCCTGGTAATTTCCTATTCTTTTGCTGCTTAACCTGCTAAGCAGGATTTTTAGGAGAAAAGCCCCAGCTGATGGACACCCTTCTCCTTGTTCTGTTAAAACAGATTCACAAACAGCTGCTCTTTGCAATGGGGTGGCTCTTCCAAGCATCAGACCTGACTTTCCTTATTAAATCTTCAGGAAGTGGAACGTCCAGCCCTGCTGATTATCCAACCTGGGCCAAACTGGTGGCAATTCCCTGTCTTGTGGTCCCTCCTGGCATTCCCAAATCCTGCATACCGTGTGTCAGCAGAATTGAGGAAAATGAGTAAGGTTCCTTCAGCACATCTGGCTGGTGCAATAAATCCCCAAAGTAGTCATTTAATGAGACAAATATATTGCAAACACACAGTGGGGAAATCAGGACACAAAGACTTCAAGGCCAAACTCCTGCCTGACCAGCTTACAAATGTCCTGGTTTCCTTTCATGCCCAGGATCAAGGAGAACTCCCCGTGCTGAGAGCCAATACCCATAAATAATAATTAGCACTATTCATCTTCAAAGCTTTTTTACAAATATTAACTGCTCATTGCTCCCAGCAGCCTTGGGAAACACTGCAGGGAAGTGTTTTATGAGAGAAAAAGGGGGCACAGAGGAGGAGACATAATCCTGAGGATCAGAGGAGCAGATCCTCTGCCTGCCCAGGTGCTACTCTGACTTGCAGCACGTTCACTGCTCAGCTCCAGGCACCAGCAATTCCCAGGTCACCACCTTCCTTCCTTCCTTCCAAGGCTCCTGTGTTCTCATGCTACAAATGCTTTGCAGAGATGCAGAGGGTGATCTTTGCTCTGTGCAATTCTTAAGAAGGAAGTGTTCTACAATGTTGAGAGGCTGAGAAGATCCTCAGCGTGTTCTCCTTCCCCACCCTAACGAATCTGAGGCACATCCAAAGCCATTCCCAAGGTTCCCAGTTCTTACTCAGGAGCTGAATGGATTAAGCTGCACAGATCACCATAAACAAGGTGATGTGTGCCACGAAAAGAAATCAAATTACAGCCACACACCCAGCAGAGAAAACCCATTTAGAGGCAGCACTTTATTAAACAAAAGGTAATAAAAGCATCAGTACAAACCTGCTGGTTTCTACTTCTATTTAACTACATAAATATAATATTTTGTTGTATTTATAAGGGTATACTCCTTATCCTTGGGATTTTTTTTTTTAAAGAACCACTACAGAGTATTTTAGGTATCAAGAACTTCACAGAAACTTCAAAGGAAAACAATGGAAAGCTGAGCTGTCAAAACCCACTGAATTACAGCCCTTGCTGTAACATCTGACAGCTTTTGCACGGCCTCACTGTCATCTGGCACGGCAGCAGAGAGGTTGTAAGAGAGCAAAAATAGTAGAAATGAGTAATTTACTTCACCATTCGGTTTGTAAACGGCAAGGAAGGACAAGCAGCGAGTGAATCAGGTGGTGATCAACCCTCCCCCTCTTCCCAAACCACAGCGTAACCACCACGACTGAAATAAAACTGCAAACAACTCATTTTTAAGGTGACAACACTCCTTTAGGTCCACAAAAACATTCCCATGTGCAATTATTGTCCGAAATATGAGCCAGCAGGAAACACGAGGAGGCAGGGTGTGCCTGACCTAATTCCACAGTGCACTCCTTCAGAACAAGAGGGATTTCTAACAGAACTGCACGTCTTTCCACAGCGTTTAGTTAAAGCCTGGCTTTAATTTCTGTCCTGGTTTAACCCCAGAGGGCAACTAAACCCCACACGTGCTCCTGTTCCCTGGTGGGATGGGGAGAGAACAGGAACAGAGGCTGGTGAGCTGAGATAAAGACATTTTAATGGGGAAAGGAAAAGGGAAGGTTGTGTGGAGACCTCACAGCCCCTTCCAGGATCTGAAGGGGCTACAAGGAAGATGGAAAGGGAGCCTTAGTCAGAAAATGGGCTGATAGGACAAGGGGGAATGGCTTCAAACTGCCAGAGGGCAGGGATAGATTAGATATTTGGGAGAAATCCTTCCCTGTGAGGGTGGGGAGGCCCTGGCACAGGTTGCCCAGAGAAGCTGTGGCTGCCCCATCCCTGGAAGTGTCCAAGGCCAGGCTGGACTAGGCTTGGAGCAACTTGGGACAGCAGAAGATGTCCCTGCACACAGCAGAGGGGTGGAATGAGATGACTTCTGGGATTCTATGACTCTATAAAAACTGTGCATGCAAGTAAAGCAAACCAAGCGATTCACTCCCCATTTCCCACGGGCAGGCAGGTGTTCAGCCATCCCAAGGACATCAGGAGACTCCATCACCCCTAATGGGGGCTTGGGAAGGCAAACACCATCACTCCCAACATCCCCCCCCTTCCCTCTTCTTCCCCCACCTCTATATTCTAAGCATGATTCCATATGGTGTGGAATATCCATCCCTTGGCTCAGCTGTCCTGGCTGTGTCCCCCCAGCTCCTCACTGGTGGGGTGGGGAGCAGAACAGGCCCCAGCTCTGTGTGATTCCTGCTCAGCAATAACTAAAACATCCCTGTGTTATCAACCCCCTTTTCCAGCATAAATCCCAACCACAGTCACCTACTAGTTACTAGGAAGAAAATTAACTCTGTATCAGCCAGAAGCAGCACAAATTTCTTAAAAGACATCCTTGGAACATGCCAGAAGTTTCTCTGAGAATAAAAGAGAAACAAACTCGTAATGATTGATTTCCTACTCTGTAAAGGGAAAGCCCCTTTAGGCACTGGAAGGGGCTCTGAGGTCTCCCTGGAGCTTTCTCTGCTCCAGGCTGAACATTCCCAGCTCTCCCAGCCTGGCTCCACAGCTGTCCCACAAGGAGGGAAGTTGGTGTCTCCAGGCAGAGCCCCAGGCACTGCCCTGTGCCCCTGAACCAAACCAGATGCTCAGGGCAAGGTGAGACTTGGCAGGTCTGAGGCTGCCACTCCCTGGCACCTGTGGATACACCTGTGGATACACCTGTGGATACACCTGGACCACTGGGGAAAAACATGGAAGTGCATTCACACGGACTGCACCAGAGAGAAAAACACCTACCTGGAGCCTTCTTGTGCTCCTCACATACCTATTAACAATCCTCATTTCATTTTCCAAACACAACCAGACAATAAAAGCTGATTTATAGGTTGAACCGGCACAGGCACAGGACAAAAAGCTTTTCCCTGGTTATGAAATAACTCTATCAACATCCAGAGGATTCATTTTCCATCTGGCTCCAAATGATAGATGGAAAATAATGTCCAGCAGGACTGATGCAACGCGGGGCAGCCCGAAAACTTTGGCAAGAGACAGCAAGGAAGCTGATGAAATGCTGGATTGTTCCTCCCATTCTGTGAATAGAGCTGCACTGTTAGCAAAGCTTACTGACTTGCTCCTTGACTTGAGGCTTAACAAAAATCCACTGTTTCAACAAATGCAATTCAAAACTACAGCTTGGCAGTCTGCTTTTAGTGGTTTAGCACTGCACTTGCACACCTTGGGTTAAGACCCAAAGTTCACCAGGTCCTTCTGTCACCACCAGTGCTCTGTTCAAGGAGCCACATCAGTGCCCCCACACTCAGAGCATCACCGCTTTTTATTATCACTTAAATTACAGATGAATTATTGAGATTTATTAACTTGATGTATTACAGACTTGTTCAAAATAGGAGAGTCCTCGTGGCACCCTCGTCAAGGGGATGGATGAAGTGCATCCAGCAATGCCCCACCACCAGGAGAGCCAGAAGGGAACAAAATTCCTCACCACAGCAACAGGTTAATGCTTTTCTGCTTCCCTCCCTGTGAGACTCAAGGTATTTGTGCTAAAGAGCCACGACCAAGAAAACTATAAAGGCTATTTCTACTCTTCACACGACTGGAATAAAGGCAAAAAAATTATACAGTTGATCCTCATAAAGAGCTTTTTACCACTGTGGCAGTGGCAGCTTTGCTAGTGCTGCCTGGTTGAATTCAGCAATTTAAATAAAGCTGGCTTCCTTGGCAAAAGGATGGAATGTGCAGATCTGATGAGGGTAAGGGGAAAAACTCTGGTTAGAGATGAGCTGCTGCAAGTACAAGCAGGTTATTTTTATCTAGAGACAGGAAAAACAAATGTTCCTCTGCTAAAATACTGAGCTAAATAAAGTTTTAAGGCAGGTGACACCTATGAGTTACACTTCCCCTTCATCTGTGCTAGATTAAGCTACAAATACTTATGTAAAAAGCTGCAACGAGAGAGAGCTGCAGAAAACAAGAGTTTTGCTGTGTTTTCTGTTCTACCACTCTCTGCAAAAGCACTTATAATGCCTTCAGAAAAACCCACGTGTTCCAACAGAGCATAAAAGCAAGAGCTGCCTTATCCCTTTGGATTTTAAAACGCTGGTTTCTTTCTCAAGTTTTTCTCTGGGGCAGCTAAATTGAGCTCGGTTTCAAATCCACACATTCTCCATTGTAAGCTGTAGAGAACAAGCATAAGGAGAAATTCTGGAGGAATTCTAAAGGGAATCTGCTCCACCTGCAGCCATCAGAACTTCTGAGAGAACTAATTCCCCCCTTTTTCCTGGAGCAAACGCTGTGCCCAGCACCCCCCCCTCCCAGCTCCTCACTTACTGCCGGCTCATCCGTCCTCAGTGCCGCCAGCACCTGTATCCCCCAAAAAATCCTGCTGGATCCCAGGGAAGCACTAAAGCACAGCAAGGCTGGGTTTCATCTCTTAGAGCAGCGCTGGTCACTCCCCCAAAGCCCAGGCGGCTGATTCATGTAAATATTTCACTTTAAGAGTCCTCACACCCCTCCTTTTACCCCCCTGCAGCCGATTCATGGAATGTTTGAACACAACGATCTGTGCCGGCACAAACTGGTTTATTTTAAGTCTTCTCTTTCCAGCAAAAGTCTCTCCCCCCCCCCGCTCCCAAATCTTTTCTCTCTGTCCCCAGATTCCTGGTTGAGCCTGTTCTCGCAGGAATTGGTCCGGTTTTGTTAAAACCCCTCCTGCCACAATATCCCTTGTGCAGGTAGAGAGGAACTACCGACCACATTTTTTGGATTTGTTACTAACCACGTGCATGTGGATTCCCAAGTCCAGAAGACCCTGGACTTGGGCCCAAATCAATTTACAATAAATGAGGATAAAATGTGTTATTTTGATACATCAGTGCCCAGTAAGTGCCAGCCCCTTCCCTCAGTGCTCAGGTGCCTTCACACAGCAGGGCAGAGGTGTCACACTTTTATGTCACCTGGAAACATTCCCCTCTCTCAGCTCAAATATGAAATCAATCTGTTCTGTTTTTCTCACTCCTTTCCACTGAGATGTACTTGGATTTCCCACAGGCTGCTCCAAATACAATTTCACAGGACAACAGAATTAAATACATCACACACCACCCAAAATACAGAATTTTTAATGTAAACAGAGCCCGAAGAAGCAGGAAACTCTTTTTATCCTGACCAACGCCAGTGACAAAACATGTCCTGACAAGTCTTAGAGTGTGAATGAAAGATCCCTTAAGAGGGATCTTACTTGAAGACAAACCAACCAATCCAACATAAAAAAAACCAAACAAAAACCAAACAATAAAAAACAAACAAACAAACAAAAAAACCAAACCAACAAACAAAAAAAACCCAAACAAGTTCTCCCTAATTTACTGACTTTTGCATTACAAGCACTTGTTAATACCTTTGGTCTGGGGGCAAGATTTTATTCCTTTAATGTCCAGTTATCTTGGCTGTTTAGATTCAGGTGCAATGAAGCACCTGTGGCCTGGTAAAGAAGTTGGGGAAAGGTAAAGAGCAACAGCATCTAATCACCAAGGTGTGTTGTCCCACAGCAGGTGATCAACAGGACTATGAAAAAAAGCTTTATAATTTATATACATTTATATATTATATAAAAATATATTTATATAATTTATATGATTGTTATATGTATAATTTATAGATTAGCTCTTATAATTACCCTATATATAGGGTAATTATATAAAAAAATACATATAAATATATATCACATATAAAATATATTATAATAAATATAAATTATAATAAATTATTATAATAAATATAAAAAATTACCCTATATATAGGGTAATTATATATAAAAACACATATAAATATATATCACATATAAATAGATATATCACATATAAAATATATTATAATAAACATTATTCATATTATATAACATATATTGTAATATATTAATAATTATATTATATTGAATTATATAAATATAATTTGAGCACAGCAACTGTCCACTGTGCATCCCTTGAGATGAGCATCAGGGTATTTTGAACTCTTTCCTCATTTGTAGAGCTTTTAGTTTCCTACAAAAAAACTACCTGGTGTGTCACCCATAACAAAAAAAAAAAGCACCTAATTGCTTTTGACTCTTATTTTAGAAAGGCTCAAAACTCCACCTTCCTCCTCTGGAAGGGATCCCAACCAATAACCGCTCCCTCATCCCCAGCTCGTGCCCTACAACAACTCCAACCGCCACCGAGTTTTAACCAATGGCAAGGAGGCAGTTTGGAAAACCAACAATAGATGGCACAGTTTTCAAAGTTTGAATGCAGCCACAGGGGCTGCCGACCCAAGAGATTTCAAAATAATAATAATAATAAGAATAAAAACCGAAACCAAACGGGGGAGGCTGCGATGGAACGCAATGGAAGTTGAAATGGATTTTGAAATACTGCAGCGCTGAGAAAGAGATTCACGACTCAAGGGCCGGTGTAGAAGGGCAGAACCAGCCTTGGCAAAACTCTGGTGTCCTCACCCAGCGCAGGAGATCTCTCCCAGGCTTTGGGATGAGACAGGAGCCCTGCCAGGGGGATTATTTAGCACCCCCACAGGGCATGTCCCCCCATATCTCACCACAACAGCCACGGGAAGCCCGTTCAGATAAAGCCACAGCTGAATTTTCCTGCTGAAGGGCTGAGATGCTCCTTGGGAGCAGAGGCACAAAGGGAAGATTATCAGTGTTGCCCTTAAAAACAACAGATTTCCCTGAATCAAACACGTTGCTTAATTCTCACTAAGGTACTGATAACACCAAAAAAAAGCAAAACAAACCTAAGGCTCCTCATAGAGTGGAGTAACTACAAAGTAATAGTGAGTAATCCAACCCCAAAATAAACACAGGAGTTTTATTTAGCACCATTACAGCTCTTTGGAAAACACATCTTGATTTATTTTTAGGGAGGCAAAAGCAGGGGCTAAAATTTCAGCCAGGTGAGGCCAACCACGAGCACTCCCAGTTTATGTCAGCAGAGAACCTGATCCCTTATTTTCAAGAACCGAAAAGCACTTCCTGACTTCCAACCAACAAAAGTTCACGGTGGGACACTGGCAAAACACCTCTTGATTTGTTTACACGTCTGGATAAATATTTTACATGTCAAGTGTGGCTCTGACGCTTTCTAAGAATATTCCGTTACATTCTTGCTTCTGTGACTAATAATTCTTACACAAAAAATATTTGGCTAGTGCAGTGTTACAGCGAGATCAGCCAGGAACTGGAGCCATATTTTGGGGGGAGGTTAAAAAAAGGGGAAAATACCACTGAAAAAAAAATAATATAGAGAATTGAAAAAAAGCAGAGAGGATGCCTGTTTCAACACACATAATGAGGTGTTGGTGCTCCTTTGGGCAAAGTTCTAAAATGTTCTAAAGTTGAAGTTCTAAAATTGAAGAGTCCACTCCATTTTTCATCTGACAAGCAAGAACCCATCAATATTCTTGCCAAAACTGCTGCTGGTTTCATGTTTACATCCAAGCCAACATGCAAAAGAAAGGCCAGGGCTTAAAAAAAATTAATTTTTTTTTTCAAGGAAACGGTCTTCAAAGGCTGTCACTGGGAGGAATATTCAACTCTGCTGAATAATCCCGGAGATTCACATATAAACAGGCATATTCCAGCTTATGCATGATTTTAATAAATCCCTAACAAGACAGATTTTAGTGCAGAGCCTGCTAATTAAAGCATCTGTTCATGTCCAAAGCAGCTCTCTAAGCCAAGAATTTCAACTCGGTCCTGATCAGACATGACCAAAACAGTGACATTTTAGAACTTTTAACATGGAGAACATGCAGTGAGTTGGCTTTTGTCAATCTGACTGAGGACACAAGAAATCAGCTCTCCATGGCAAACCTGGACTGCCCCTCACAAGAGCAGAAATCCCGACAGGTTCATCACCAGCAGGTGAATGTTTCCTCCAAGCCCTCTGCTGGGGCAGCACAAGGGGCTGGAATGTTCCCTGTCAGGGCTCCCTGCTCTGGGGAGGAGTAAAAGCCTTTAAACCTCAGGGCTGCTTCATAGGAGGTTTTGTTTTGTTATTTTTTACTTCAGCTGTGACAGCCTAATTAAAGGCACCACTGAGTGTCTGCAGCACACAGGGCGAGGGGCTGGAGAACACTTTATTTTCTGCTTTAATCATAGTTTCATCTTTCAGAAATGCAATAATTCCAACTCTGCAAGTGGTGAAGTGGCATTTCCCGTAGCTGCTCACACCACCTTTAAAACGCTCTTGGAATGACTTAACAGCACAAAGTGAAGACAGCCAGAGATGCCCCAGCTGTGGACATCAGCTCAGTTTTCTGAGAACAACTGAGAGTTTCAAAACCAGCTTTTAAAAGGAGAGGCCCGTGATCTTGGCAAGGAACATTTTGCAAGAGGGACATTTGGCAGACAAGACACCATTTAAATATAGCACAGCCCTAATGCACCGAGCTCTCCCCGGGTTTGTAATTGTCAACAAACAGAACCCCAGTTTCCCCCTTGCTCAGGCAACACGAGGTAACAGGAATCATTGCACCGGTTTCACTTCAGTGTTTCGTGCAGCACGTTCCCAGAGGACCATCCCTAACCCAGCTGTTCATCGCTGTCCTCGGCGCAACCCCAGGTGGAAGCAGCTCCTTGGATCAAATACATTCATTTAGATCTTCCTCCCCCCCCTGTGAGGGCACTTCCCTCCCCAGGGTGGTGGGATGGGAGCAGTGACAGAGCTGTCACAGCCACCTTCCCACACCGCTCACCAGCCCCCCTGACCACCTGAAACGGGGCAGGGACAGACACACTCCAGCCCTGTTACAGGATGTGAAAGGGGGGGAGAAAAAGATAGGAATGTGAAAGCTCCTCTCCCACGAGCCCAAGAAATGTGCCTGATCAATATTTCTCTCCATTAGTGCGGCACCCGAATCGATGGTTTCCATCCCCACTTAAAAGGGAGGTTTGAAATTGCTCTGCAGCACAGCTGAACCCAGACAGCAGCAGCATTTAGGGTAAAAGCTAAAACCTGCCTCGTCCCAAATGACTCAGACATTACCCAATTTACACACCATTAGATGGGAACTCGTAGAAATTGGATATGAGCAAACCCTTGCAGTTTTGAGGTGCTTTATATTAAAGCTGAGCCATTTCTCAAACACACCTGAATTATCTGATTCGCCCATCACTGATAATTCTGATGATTTTTTATAGTTGCAACTTGGCCTGTCTGGATGGAAAAGAATGAAGTAGATCCTACAGAAAAGAGCCAGATTGTGCTTATATATATATATATTAGAGAAACTCCCTGGATTTCAGAAATCAAAATGTAACAACAAATTAGAAACTGAAATTCTGATAATCTGTATTTCTTTTCTATTCCTTAGCTAGTCTCCTGATTAAACAAAGCAAACTTTTAAACAAAGTAAACTTTAAAAAAAAAAAAAACAA